TAAAGAAGACAACAAAGGTCTTCATGGGTAAAGTATAAAATCACAGGGTCCCAGCAAAGGTTATAATTACATATAGGTCTCCTTTAGAAAATGGTACCATTCTATATGTCCTTTTCTCCAACTTCATAATTCACTTAACAATGTCATATTTTATCAAGTAGATATTTCAGTACGTATCTCAAAGGAATTCTTGGGTGCATAAGTATTTCATAACCAGGACACAAAGAGCACTAACCAAAAAAGTATAGGGCACCCGGGTGGCTCAGTTTGGTTAAGCACCTGCTTTCAGCTCAGGTCATGATCCCAGGATCCTGGGATCACATCCCAGGTCCCAGGGCTTTCTGTTCGGCAGGGAGTCTGCTTCTCCCTCAGCTCCTCCCCCACTCATGCTTTTTCTCTCTCTCTCAAATAAATAAAATGTTTAAAAATTAAAAAAGAAATATGAACTCTACCTAATTAAAATTAGCAACTTCCACCCACCAAAAGATTCCATTAATAGACTGAAAAGGCAAGCCATGGAGTGATTCACAATATATATATCCAGTAAGAGATTTACTACCAAGGGGCACCTGGGTGGCTCAGTGGGTTGAGCCTCTGCCTTTGGCTCAGGTTGGTCTTGGGGTCCTGGAACCAAACCCCCCATCGGGCTCTCTGCTCAGCGGGGAACCTGCTTCCCCCGCCTTTCTGCCTGTCTCTCTGCCTACTTGTGATCTCTCTCTCTGTGTCAAATAAATAAAATAAAAATAAATAAATAAATAGAGATTTACTCCCAAAATAAAATACAAAGCAAAAAAGAAAAAGAGAAGCAATAAAAGATGACGACACAGTAGTGCCTGGGTGGCTCAGAGACTTAAGAGCCTATCTTTGCCTCATAATCCAAGGGTCCTGAAATTGAGCGCCACATGGAGCCCCACATTGGGCTCACTGCTTAGCAGGGAGTCTGCTTCTTTCTCACCCCCTGTCCTCTCCCCCAGACTCATGCACACACATGCTCTCTCTCTTGTTCTCTCAAATAAATTCTTAAAAAAAAAAAAAAAAAAATAAGAGACAATTCTGGGAAGGGTGGAGTAGGGTGCACCAGGAATCAGTCAGCCACCCCTAGACTTTTACTGCACTTGAAAAATGTGTCAGATATAACTGTGTTAGAGCCCCCAAGTCAACCCTAAGGCACACTATGCACCTGTTCCTGGGGCAACTGACACCCTGCAGAAGCCAGGGTTCACTAAAAGGACCCTGTCCTTCAGATATTGGAGACCTCTTCTCTGATGACTGGTTACAACTTTTGGTCACAGAGTTGCAAACCAAGAGGCCAGTAGCTGTCACTGTTGTACTATCTCCACCCACGGGTCTAAGACCCTCCCCTTCCAGGTGAAATGACTTCCAGGGGATTTATTTCTTCAAATATCCTCTCTGCTCCCTTATGTCTTGTCATTTTCCCCTTTCAGGAGCCAGACATGAAAGACTAGGACATTAAAAAACAACTGCAGGGGCGCCTGGGTGGCTCAGTGGGTTAAAGCCTCTGCCTTCGGCTCAGGTCATGATCCCAGCGTCCTGGGATCGAGCCCTGCATCGGGTTCTCTGCTCAACAGGGAGCCTGTTTCCCTTCATCTCTCTCTGCCTGCCTCTGCCTACTTGTGATCTCTGTCTGTCAAATAAATAAATAAAATATTTTTTTAAAAATTAAAAAAAAAAAAAAAAACCTGCATATATGGGAAAAATTACAAAGTGACCGTGCATAACAAGGAAAAGTTTAGGGAAGTCCTAAGAAGACGTTCCATTTACAGCCCAGGCTAATCTTCAGGACACCGACCATCTATAACAATAAGTAAACAAAGAACAGTAAACAAAAACACAAACCCTGGGGAAGGAGGAGAGTCTGATTTCCAGAGTTACTACATTATTAGATTCAAATGCACAATATTCAACAAAAACTAAGAAGGCATACAAAGAAACAGAAAATATAGCCTTTCAAAGAAACAGGGAAGTATAACTTTCAAATGAAGTTGAAACAACTGTCTCAAAGATGCTAAAAGAACTAAAACATGAGAAGGAAATCAAGAAAACCATGGTTGAAAAAAATCAAAAATCAATAGACCCAAAAATACAAAACAAAACAAACAAAAATCCCAACAGAGACATCAAGGAGTAATCGCAGACTGAAATGAAAATTCCAATAACAGAAATGAAAAAGAATAAAAGTTAAAAAAAAATTAACTTGGGGCACCTGGGTGGTTCAGTGGGTTAAGCCTGTGCCTTCGGCTCAGGTCATGATCCCAGGGTCCTGGGATCAAGCCCTGCATTGAGTTCTCTGCTCAGCAGGGAGCCTACTTCCCCCTCCGTCTCTGTCTGCTGCTGTGCCTACTTGTGGTCTCTCTCTCTCTGTCAAATAAATAAGTAAAATATTTTAAAAAATAAAATAAAATCTTTAAAAATAATAATAATAAATAAATAAATCTTTAAAAATAGAGAATGCTAGAAGGCAACACAAAAGCATAAAAAAAGTAAAGCTCTTGGGTAAAGGTAAATATATAAATACATAAAGAATCCTAAAATACTCTAATGGTAGTGCATAAATCAGTGTTATTGCTGGTATAGCATTTAAAATTAAAAGCATACAGGGTCACCTGGCTGGCTCAGTAGGAACAGCATGCAACTCTTGATCTTGGGGTCCTGAGTTCAAGCCCCATATTGGCCTAAGGCTTATTTTAAAAAATTTAAAAAGTTAAAAGCACACAAAATAACTATGCCTATAAAACTGTCAATGAATACAAAATATAAGATATAATTTGTGACATTATTAACACAATATAAGGGGAAATTCATAGAGGTAGAGCTTATATATGAATAAATTTATCACCTAAAATAAATTAAAACCATACAATGTATTTATTATGTAATCTTCACAATAATGATGAATAAAATACCTATAGAAGATACATACAGGTAAATAAGGAACTAAAGCATGCCACTACAACAAATTAACAAAACACAGAAAGGTAACAAGAGAGGAAAAGAGACAAAATAGGTATAAGACATACAGAAAATGATAAAATGTCTTTCTTTTTCAGTAATCACATTAAAAGTAAATATAAAAGGGGTGCGTGCGTGGCTCAGTCAGTTAAGCATTCATCTCTTGGTTTCAGCTTAGGCTGTAGTCTCACAGGTTGTGAGATCAGGCCGTGTCCCTCTCTACACTCAGTGAGGAGTTGGCTAGAGAGTCTTTCCCTCTGCCCCTCCCCACATCTGTCTTTAAAACAAAAACAAACAAAAGATAGAGGGAAGAAATGGACCTTAAACAATGCCTGGGTGGGGCCTGGATGGCTCAGTCGGTTAAGTATCTTCCAGTGGACCCTGGGATTGAGTCCCACATCCAGCTCCCCGCTTGTCAGGAAGTCTCCTTCTCCCTCTCCCTTCTCCCTCTGCCTGCTTCTCTGCCTATTTGTACTCTCTACCTCTCTGTCAAATAAATAAATAAAATCTTAAAAAAGAAAAAAACAGTGCCCACCTATATGCTATCAACAAGAGACTCACTTGAGATGTAAGGACACTCAAAGGCTGAAAGTGAAAGGCTGAGAAAAGATACTCCAAGCAAATGGTTACCAAAAGAGAGAAATGTTCCTACTTATGAGACAAAATGGGCTATAAGAGAAAAACTGTCAAGAGATAATCATCATTATTATGATAAGTCAATTCACCAGGAACTTATAACAATTATAAATATGCAGGCACCCAATACAGCACCCACATGTGTGAAACAAACCGTGAGAGACCAAAGAGAAATTGACACTAACAATAAGTGAAAAATCCAAATACCCTACACTTTTAATAATGGATCAAGCAAACAAACAGAAAATTTAATAAGGAAACAAAGTAACTGGAAGAAGCATTACATATCAAATGGACCTAACATATAAAAAATACTCCTAACAACACAATTCTCATTTTTCAAGGGGAAATGGAATTTTCTCCAGGATACATCACATCTTTAGCCACAAAATAAATCTCAACAAAATTAAGAATACTGATATCATACCAAGTATCTTTTCTTGTTTCAATGGAATGAAACTAGAAACGAATTAACAAAAGGAAACTATTTACAAATATCTGGAAATTAAGTAACACACTTTTTTTGTGAGGGGAATGAAGAGGGGCAGAGGAGAGGAAGAGAATCTTAAGCAGGCTCCGTGCCCCGAGCTGAGCCCGATGCGGTGCTTGATCTCTTAACCCTAAGGATCAGGACCTGAGCTGAAACCAAGAGTTGGATGCTTAACAAACTAAGCTACCCAGAAGCCCCTAAAAATAACACTCACTATATGTATAAAATACTTTATGAAGAAAAAAGAAAGTAAGAATCACATGTGGAATTTTTTTTTTACAGTATTTTTTTTTAAGATTTTACTTATTTATTTGAGAGACAGAGATCACAATTAGGCAGAGAAGCAGGCAGAGAGAGAGAGAAGAAGGAAGCAGGCTTCCTGCTGAGCAGAGAGCCCAATGCGGGCCTTGATCCCAGGACCATGGGATCATGACCTGAGCTGAAGGGAGAGGCTTTAACCCACTGAGCCATTCAGGCGCCCCTCACATGTGGAATCTGATGCATTTACTAAAAGGACCCCCGTGAGGTAAATTCTCTTATGAGCACTTTATAAACAAGGTCTTTTAAAATTAGAAGACAGCAATAATGGGAAAAAAATTAGTAGATCATCTTTAATTTCTCTCCCAACTATTTCCCACATAATAAAGCAAGTACTTTTAAGTACTACTGTTTCCATTTCTTCCTTAACATGTAGTAGATTTGGGGGTGCCATAATATTGGATGTCTCAGTTGGTTAAGAGGCTTGTACTCTCTCTTAAAAAAAAAAATTGCTAGATTTTAAGATTAGATGATACTTCATAATGATAAGGCTAGTAAAAATTCCTTCCTCCAAACTATTCCTAAAAAATGTGGATTCAAAATATTTTAAGAAAAAATTCCATTAAACTACTTAGTATAGACTTACCCAGGTTTCCTTGCTCGATTGTCAGTACCACCTCATCCATCACCACGGCCCTAAAGTCCAATTCCTCCTCACAACATTTGGCCTTTAATGCTCGTAAAATCTCTTTTTGGGGATAGTCTTCTCTGATTCGACGATCTGTCAAAAACCACAACTTGGCTGCCACAGAGCTACACATCTTGATCTGCTTGGTCTTCCTTCTCTTGGATTATTTCCTCCTGAATGCCGATTCTTTCTATACAGAAAGACAAAATTCACATACAGAGTAAATAAAGTAAATAAAGAATTCTACTTAAGGAATTTCATGTTTGTGGGGCTCCCCTGTACATATGAAAATAAGTTTCACTTCCTCCTATTAAAAAAAATCTATTTGGGGTACCTGGCTGCTGGGCTCAGCTGGTAGAGTGCACAACTCTTTGATTTTTGGTGGTCTGAGTTAGAGCCCCACATTAGGCATAGAGATTACTTAAAAATATATATTAACGGGGTGTCTGGGTGGCTCAGTCGGTTAAGCATCTGCCTTCGGCCCAGGTCACGATCCAGGGTTCTGGAATGGCGTCCTACATTGGGCTCCCTGCTTAGTGGGAAGCCTACTTCCCTGCTTCTCCCTCTCTCTCTGCCCCTGCTTGTGCAATCTCTCTGCGAAATAAATAAATAATCAAATAATTATATATATATATTTATTTAATATATATTTAATATATATACATATATGTGTATATATACATATATATGTGTATATACTATGTATTAATATATATATACGTATATATACACTTATATATATAAAATATTTATATGTAAGTTAAAAAAAGAAATCTGATTCTTGGCTTTCACACAAATAAATGCTATGATTATATATTAACTATACAAATAAAAAGTGAATAATGTAATATGATGCCTTTTCCCTTTCATTCAAATAAAAAATTTTTATACCACTAGAAATATAGAAACTCACAACTTCCCATGAAACAAAATTTCTCCATCGTCCACTGGGGAAGCTACCACTGCCATTTTATAATTACAGCAGATCACTTAGTACAAGTTCCATTTTCTACATTATGTTCAATGTCATTCCCTATACTATATACTACTTAGGAATGTACTTTAATATCACCATCTACTTTTGACTGATTTACTCCTTCCCCTAAAATGCAAATCCCTTGATATAAAATAGATGAGACTAATCACCAGTATATCCTGATCCTTCCCATCACAACTGACTCTATATATATTCATATATCTGTAGTCTTTTTATTCAATTTTCTTCTCTTATTTTGTCATATTTGTATATTTTGTTACAAACATATTTATAGGAATGTTTTTTGTGGTTTTTTTTTAAGATTTTATTCATTTATTTGACAGACAGAGATCACAAGTAGGCTGAGAGACAGAGAGAGAGAAGGAAGCAGGCTCCCCACTGAGCAGAGAGCCCGACTCGGGGCTCAATCCCAGGAGCCTAGGATCATGACCTGAGCTGAAGGCAGAGGCTTTAACCCACTGAGCCACCCAGGCGCCCCTGTAGGAATGTTTTAAATAATGAGATAGTAACACCTATGTTACTAGAGAAGTATCAACACTGAAATCATTTATATAGCAACTTTAATCAAAATAAATAGTTCAAGGGGTGCCTGGGTGGCTCAGTAATTAAGCATTTGCCTTCTGCTTGGGTCATGATCCCAGGGTCCTGGGACCCAGCCCTGCGTCAGGTTCCCTGCTCTGCAGAAAGCCTGTTCTCTTTCTCCCACTCTCCCTGCTGTGTTCCCTCTCTCGCTGTGTCTCTCTCTGTCAAATAAATAAATAAAATCTTAAAAATAAATAAATAAATAGTTCAAGAATATGGAAAACAATTTAAAAAAACAATGCATGCTAGGGTCCATTCACTAAAATTTATTTCAGTCAGGGGATAGCATACTCTTACTCAAGGTTTTTATGCTTCCTTTAAATAGAACTTTTTTCAACAGATTGTTTACTAGAATACAAAAAAGGACTTTCTTCCACAGAGTGCTGCTTCTCAGAATCTGCATCATGAGCAAAAGCTTGTATCACGAATAAGACAACAGTTGAAAATTTCCCTAAAGCAGCAAAAAGTTTCACATTTTACTAACAAATGTTAACAGGTGGTTTCAAACAAACAAACAAGCAAACAAACAAAACTTTACAAAAATAAAATTCCTGAGGCCCCTGGCTGGCTCAGAAGTACAGCATGTAACTCTTGGTATCAGGATCCTGAGTTCTAGCCTCACTGGGGCATGGAGCCTATTTTAAAAAAATTCCTAATATCACCCCAGATGACATGGCAAACCTAACACAGAAAACAGAATAAGGGTAAGAACTAGAGAAAGGAATGACCATACGGATGGCTTCCAGCACCACGAATGAAAGTGATTCCTCATGCACCATTCACACACTCTCCAGGGTCTCAGTCAGAAGGGCCTGCTCCACAGATGTACACCGTAAGACCAGAACATCATGAGCCAGATGCACCACCACACATACACACACAGCCCCAACCTCAAACCTTAGCCTGCCATGCCTGCCACACTCACGCACCTGCCCCACAACCCAGGGTCTCAAGGCATCAATCACAGGAAAGCAGGGAACGAATAAAATAACATGGGAGATACACATAAAAGTGTGACTTGTAGCTGTGGAAAAGCAAGGGGAGAACTCTCAAATGTGGCAATGCATCAGGCCAAGACCCAAGAAATCAGCAAAGGGGATGACTGGTGCCCAGAGGCTTCTGGCCCCTTGTGTTATTGTTCCACAGCTGTGGACAAAAACATGACCTCTTAAAAAAGAACATGCCCTCTTGAGCCTTAGTCTAGATATGAATTGAAGATGTGGTCACTGAAAAGTCTCAAAGGAAAAGCTCCACATAAGAAAAGTCGCACCAGAGTACCTAATGCCTCTCCAGTTTCCCTTGAGAGAGGCATTATAAAATGACCTTAAGATATTTAGACCAAGTAGTTTTTGGACCACCCTGTCAAGGACATCTAATACTCCAAAGCCATCTTGGTGCCTTCCCTGACACTTAGGTCTTGAACATCATCTGTTCACTGATATGACTGAATTTCACTGCATGAAATTGTATTGAATGAGTAAAGCAGTTGTGGCCCCCAACAGAACTCAGGATAGGATTTTTTTTTTTTTTTTTTAAAGATCTCACTTATTCACCTGACAGACAGAGATCACAAGTAGGCAGAGAGGCAGGCAGAGAGGAGGAATAAGGCTCCCCGCTGAGCAGAGAGCCCCATGCGGGGCTCGATCCCAGGACCCTGGGATCATAACCCGAGCCGAAGGCAGAGGCCTTAACCCACTGAGCCACCCAGCTGCCCCTCAGGATAGGATATTAAAGCCACTGGCAACTGGGAAGTAGAAATGTTGGCTAATACTGGTATGTCAACTCATGGAAAATGCCCAGGCCACAATATTAACACAACAAGTTATGTTCAATGATTCTATAATTGGACAACAAAAATACTCCTGGGCTGCAATCTCATGTCGCTGTGCAGCAACTCCCAACAGATGATGCACATGAGCATCATGTCTGGCTTCATGCCTGCAGCTCTTATAACCATGCATAATCTTCAGGTGTTTCCACACTGGTATGGCACCATCAACTAAGTAAGTGCAAGTTCAGGTTAGTCTCCCTATTTCTTTTCATTTTTTAAAAAAACATTTATTAGAGAGAGTGGGAGAACATAGAGCATGAGCAGCAGGGAGGGGCAGAGGGAGATGGAGAAGACTCCCCACTGAGCAGAGCACCTGATATAGGGCTCAATCCCAGGACCCAGGGATCACGAACTTAGCAAAACACAGATGTTTGACTGACTGAACCACCCAGGTGCCCCTCCTTTCATTTCTCCCAATGGAGCAGCCTGATCTCTGCAAGGCTTTCATAGGGGATACCTGCACCCCAGATCTGGAACTGGAGAAATGCTCTACAGAAGACTTTATGAAATATGTAGACACTGTCTTGAAGAGGTCCAACATCAATGCCAATGACTGTGGCTCCTCAAATCCACCTAGTGGCAGTCAATATAGCAGCATCTGGGGATCATGACCTTGCCCTGCACCGAGATTATCTTTGTTCATATGGAATACATTTTCTTTATCAGCTTCAAAAGATTCTTATGTTATGTCTTGCTTTTCATGTGAAGAATCAGAGGTATGCCACACTGTATTCCAACGTCCACCAAGGAGATGATGTCCCCAGCTTGAAAAAAGCAAGTCAGCTTAACAACCTCCAGCTTATTATTTACGGTTTCATTGTACTGGTGTCTTCAAGTGACACCTGTCCAATTTTTTTTTTTTTAAAGGAAATGGTTTTGGGGTTTTTTTTCAAGATTTTTATTTATTTATTTGACAGAGAGAAACAGCAACAGAAGGAACACAAACAGGGGGAATGGGAGAGGGAGAAGCAGGCTTCCTGCTAAGCAGGGAGCCCCAAGCGGGCCTGGATCCCAGGACCCTGGGATCATGACCTGAGCCGAAGGCAGTAGCTTAACCGAATGAGCCACCCAGGCACCCCCAATTTTTATCCATTATAATTTTACAGTGATCTCCAAAGACCAGTTTATTGCCAGAGAAATAAAGAGCACAACTCTCTCCTCCAACCAATGGTCCACTCCTCTTTGGAAAGGTACCCAGGGTGGCCTTATCCTTATCAGGCTGCTCTACTGGGATTCACATCTAAGAATAGCCAGGAAAACAAGAGGTAAACACTCTCTAACCACAAAGGCAGAGGCTCTGTATTCCCCCCTCCAACCCACTCCCATGGCCCTTCTGGTCTGGGAGGCCACCTTCCTGCGGGCCAGGTGGAGGCCAGCGTCTCCTCCAACTTATCTACTTTTCTATTTATCCCATTAATGAACATCCAGGAAAAAAAAAAAAAAACAAACTGCTAATAAGTCAAAAGCGTAATGGTAAATCTACAGTCCAGGAAACCAAAAGTACACCAATAAAATGATAGTCCTGAGTCTCAAAAATAAAAACCTCAGATTATATTCACTATTTTTAAAGACAGTAAAGAGTCCCTTGTAAAAGTAAAATGGTTCCTCCCCCCCACATAATATTAAGGAAAACAATGCACAAATATCAGATACCAAGTAAATGCTACTGATAAACTGCTAAATCAGTTTTTCTTTTTTTAACAAAGAGACATTTGACAAAGAAAATTTACATTTATATTAGACATAGTTCTCCCATGCAACTTCTGGATACACATGCAAA